ATAGCGCACTGTCTTTCGGATGAGACGTTTAAGCCGTTTGTCCCGTGTGCATTATGGCCCATGTGCACGTTAAAGAACGCAGTACACTCTTCGGAAAAGAGTAGGGGATTGTGTCCTGGTGTACTGCCCAATCACCACCAGAAGGACCACACTGGAAATAAGTCTGCTTCTAGACTTTCGTGGGCTATCATTGGTATTTACACCGAATAAATCCCATCCAATCCAATCGAAATATGACAAACTATCCTGCCAATTGTCATCTTTATATATTAATCCATTTTCGAGATATTTAGGTCTTGGACCTTTTGGTCCTTAAAAGCACAGCCGAATTTGGTTCGTCACCGACACTTCCTTGTATCTTAGAAGCTTTCACAAAAGTTTCATTCATATCAGTTGATTAGTTTTCAGTTAAATGGTCCTCATATCCACACCCTACTCCGGATGGTCACCAAAATGTAAACATTTCTTCAACGAATAATGACAAAATATTCTGGGTAGTGTCATTTAGAGCCATTGATTATTTTAAAAGAGATATTTAGGTCTGGCACCTTAGGATTTGTAAGTTGCTTAAACTTTCACGAAAGTTTAATTCAGATAGGTTGATTACTTTTTGAAATCTGGTCTGGGACGTTTTCTTTATATTTCTCATATCCACACTCTACTCCAGATGGTCACCAAAATTTAATCACCTCATTCTTTGGTCATACTTAACATTTCCTGTATATTCCATTTAAGATCTGTGCAGCTGTTTTTAAGATAGCTTGAACACAATAAATATGCACGACCTTAAAAACTTAAATGACCCGCCCACAAGTTCACCCCCGAATTTGTATCGTGACCAACGCTTCATAATTTGTTCCTTGTAACTTGGTTAAACTTTCACAAATGTTTATATCAGTTGATTAGTTTTTGAGATATCTTGTCTAGGACATTTGGTCCTCACAACCACACCCTAATACGGACCATCACCAAAACTTAATCATTTCTTCATTGGGTTATACCTATAACACACTCTGTTATTTTAAATTATGTCAGTGCAGCCATTATTGAGGTATGTCGCACACAATAAAAAAAAACATGAAAACACACACACACACACATACATGCCTGAAAACATATATCTCCTGGTGGAGATAATAATTACACTTGCATAGCGCATAATGCATGACAAAGCTTCTCTATGTTTCACATCATAAAAGTAATACAGTATTAAAACAAATACACAAAACAATTTAAAAAAACGAAAAAAGGGCACAAAATAAAAATTCATAATCTCTGAGGGGTTACCGTCCACCATCACCCTAGCGCAATCCCGTACTCCTACCTATGTGGCTCGAGCAAAGGAACAGGATACACATTTGTCTTGCTACAGGCGAACAGGTGCTCAGGGACGGTGGCCAAGCCAGGGAAACCCACAGAGAGAATACAGGAAAATTTATGTTGTGAAGAGATACGTTTGAAAGAGTTTTTTTTTTTAATGGGCAATGTTGCTGATAGCCACGGATGAGATGATTCAACAGATAAGGATCGATCAGCATAAAAAAGGAAATATCTTACTTTCTATTAGATAATAGTAACTTTAGTCAGTGATGCATAGAATTAATATGTTATATATACTTAAATATATACTTTACTGCATCTTATATATGCATCATAAAATATAATTTTACAAACATACTGTATTTGGCAGACAAAACACAATATTCATTGAATACTTTACAACTTTTATTTAACTTTATTCTGATTTATTTTTTTTCCAAAAATATACATAATATAAACATCTATCATCGTTTTCTGATTAAAAGAAACAGTATATTTCCAGGATTTGCAAAAGTATATAAAGTACAGTATCAATAGTCTCAAAGGCAAAAATTACTATAATTTAAATGCATATATTAATTATATACGATGATTAGCATTTTAGATGAAGTTTCCCCATTTGGATTTTCTTTTCATTCATTTAAGGCTCTATTCACACTATCGAATTTTCTGTGAGATATGTCTTTCATCTGCACATTATGGGCATAATGATATATAGCATCTATATATTGTTATAATGCTGTCATATCACACCAACATATGGGCATAACTATGGCATAGCATCCATGGCATAATCTCTTATCACACCAATATAATGGCATAATGATGTCTTATCACACCACCCATATGTGGACATGATGATGTCATATCACATCTATATACAGGCAATTCACAAGTATTTGCCACATAAAACCTAATTGTCTGGACAGAGACTCAGAAAAACGAAATCCTTGAGTGACTCCTACAATAACCTTGCTAGAGGTTAAATTCAACAAAAAATAAAAACATTATTTTCATATTAATATGCAGTTAAAAACTGATTAATATTATAATTAGCTTAATTAATAATTGTAATATCCAAAAAAATCCTGTTAAAATTTTTAAAATCAGTAAAATATTTTTGGCACAATTTAGTGAAGATGTTAGATATTAGATGTATTCATATTATAGCAAAATCACAGATTTACAAACGTTCGTATATACTTACTTATGAAATTTAATTATTTTCGATTTATCTTCATTTATCTCACCTTTTAATGACTAAAAACAAGTTTGTATCAAATTTTTACAACTTTTATGATTTATACATTTGCTTTTCTTTTTAAAATTTAGTGTCATTTTTTTTATTCAACTTCCTTTACCAGGGAAAGCATGGTTGTGGACAATCTCGAATGTAAGTTTCCAAATAACCAGAATTTACTTGCATGAGAGCAGTGTACGTTGTCAACTGTAAAAAAGACATACACAACTTAATGTAGAATGTACCTTATATTTAAGGACGGAATTATATAGGATGGGGGGGGGGAAATGGGCCCCACCCCCTGACTTTTCCACTACCGTTTTTTTTAATAGACTAAGATACAAAAAAATACTAAATGTTACAATAATTTGTAACAGCATATACTGTACTGAACACATATCATAACATTATTTGATACACATTGTATTTATATGAATAATTATGTTGCATTTAGGCATATAAAAAATAGGTTGTGCCTCTTTTCAAAATTCTGGAAAATATTAGCCAACATATCTATTGTAAATGATAGAGGCATGCATGACACAGCCTCAAATGTAGCCTCACTCCAACCCACTGACAATTTTCTGAGCGAAAAATTAATCTCAAGTAGTAAGGCTGGGTGAATTGTTAAGCGTTAAGGTAAAGCCATCATAACCATCATTTTCCTAAAAATTCCTGAGGGCCTACAATAGTTTAACCTACATAGATCATCAAAGTCTCGATCACCCAAATGAATATCAGTCTATATTTCAGATTAATTGTGGGAAAATTAATGAAATTTTTAGACATTTTTCACTAGACCGCATGACATTCACTGGACAAAAATTTTGTTTACATATTTCCGCATTCTGTAGCTGTGTCTCATCAGTAGGTTTGTGGTGTCATATGGAACGCCAAAAGGGCAACTTTTAAACACAGTCGATTTTCAAGCACACTCGGTTTTCAGGCACAGTCAGTTAACGAACACGGTAAATTTTCGTCAAGCACAGTCAAAATAACATTAAAAAACAAATGTTTGGTGAGTGTCTTCCCTATCTTTCTGCATTCATAAGTCATAGTGCTGGGTATAAAAAACACTAGCCTAAAAACCAAATACTTCTCGAAGTGGGCAATGCATTTTTGTTTAAAAGTTCACTTTAAACTATTTGAAATTTATGCTTTATGAACAAATTTTTTTCAGTTTTTTTTTTTAATTAAATGCATGTCTTAAACGTGAATATACTTACAAGGTTCATTACTGGTTTTGTGGAAAGAACGTTGTATATTCCAGCCAATCCAGCTTTCTGAATAAAACAAGAAAAAAAATTGAACTTAACAATGAAAAATTCTCTGGGAGATAAACATCAATTACAAAGAAAATCCACCTGCTACATTGGTATACTTCCATCATTTACATTGATTGAGCAATTGACTGAGTAATTTGTTGGTTAGTCATAGTTGGTTGGTCAATTGGTCATTAGTGAGTTAGTTGTTGATATCTAGAATACCCTGTAAAAATTTCAAAAAAAAAAACTGACTCACATGGATTCATTTAATCTGATAATTGATAATATGGAATGTTTACAATTTCTAAATAAACTGTGCAACAAGCCCATACCGTTCAATGTCTTTAAAAAAAACCTCTTGAAATCCTGCGATTATTTCATATTTTTCGTGGTCAAAGACGACACCCCATGGGCTGAACCCTCTCTTTCGAGAAATACAATCTATATTTTGCCATTTATCATTCAATAAATTACAATTGCATTTAATACTTATATATTCTCAATAATAATTCACTTCATACAGTACTATGCAATAATTTCATATATTTGAATTCTCTTCTTATCTGTAATGTTTTGTCCCCTCATTTTTCCTTCTTCTGCTTTCTTTCCTTTATAATCTGGTTTATTCATAATTAGTCCATTTTTTGTAGTGACTAAAACTTACCTCCTTTGTCATTTTGTTCATGCACTTTGTGGCTGGGGTTCGACGGTCATCAAAGAACGGAGGGGTTTTCCAGTTATCGTAATTGGTTTGAAGAATAAACCAACCACTTTCAGTTTTCTTTAATCTGTTTAAAATAGGAAACTTGGATATTAAAACAGAACACAATGTGTATATATACAGTTGTAACTGGCATGAAACGAATGATGACACTACACACACCGAAAAAAAAAAACCAAAAAAAAAACAAGGGATTTGGGGCCAAAACACTTCAATAATAGTGATAAAGGGACAGCAAAAAGAAATAAATGGAGATAGATTGAACATTTTTTTTTAAATGGATACAAAATGGAGATGAATAATCAAAATGGCAGTCATTACATGGTACAACTTGAAACCTCAGAAAACCTGAAACTTTGACTCAAAAATATGGGGGAAATTAAAAATGCTATTGTTAAAATTAAAGCCCCAAAACCTAGACTCAAAAACACAGGATGGTGTCTGGCAGGGGAAAGTTTCTTTACTATTGTTTGATTTGTAGTTAAGTTAAAAACTTTTTAATCCAGGCCAAAAACCTTGACTTAAAAATACCGGGAGCATGTCTGCAAAGAGAGTTTAACCCTAGTTATATACGTCTTTCAAGTTAAAAATGCTCAATTTAATCTTCCCAACGGTCAGCTTAATAGTCATCAATACTCATCCTCATTATCATTATGGCTATCGTCATTATCATCATAATCATCACCACCTTTGAAGTCTAATGTGGTGACGATTATGATGATAATGATGAAAATGATATTTATTATCATTATTATCATAATAATTATCACCAACTTTGAAGTCTAATGTGCTCCCCACCACCAGTTGCTCAGCGGGTTTAGTTTACCAACAAATTGAACTTGGCGAAATGGACAGCACCTATTTTCCATGCACACTGCTTAAAGTCATTCGCAATGGCTGCACAATCATTTCCACCTTAAAGGTAACAAACTTATCTTTCAAAAACACTAAACATATTAATATTTTCTACACAAAAAGAGGGTTTTATTTATTTCAATGAAACAATTAAATTATGAGCCTTAAAGGTATAGAATATTTCAACTTGAATTTCATAACTTGCAAAAAACTTGATAATCCTAATTTTAACAGATATTAAGGAATGATTGAGCATTATAATAAACTAAGTCATGTAAGTGATAATCTTCTTCTTGTGTATGGCAAACAGCATAATTTTTTTTTCTATTTTCTATTTTTTTTTTTTTAGTGTGAATGCAATTGGACTGTTCAAAAATTCAATTCAAAGTAGGAGTAATTTTAAATTATGCTACCTCAGCTTTATATTCGAACCAGTCAATGTGTGACAAAACTACAAAAACCCAGAACTAAATGCAACAGAAAATATTTAGCGTAATCTGTTCCTGAAATATACTAAAATCCAATCAGGTTAACATCCAACAATTTATTGTGTCAATTTGCACAATTACTGTGTTGAAGAAAATAATTGTTGTTGCTAAAGAAAATATTTAATAAAAAAAGTTAATAAGATAGACGCCTGTGTAAGCATATGAAAGTCTGTTGTTGCTAAGAAAAAAAATTAATAAAAAAAGTTAATAAGATATACGCCTGTGTAAGCATATAAAAGTCTGTCGTTGCTAAGAAAAAAATTTAATTAAAAAAAATTAATTAAGATATACGCCCCTGCACAAACCAAAGGCGGGGAACACATTATTTATGGCATCAAAGGGATCTGTTGTTGAGTGACTCCTCAATGATATCTCCATGTTAATACTATGCCATACTGAACAAACTTACTCTTCAAGGTTGTCCATCGTTTCCCTTGATCTTGTGATGACACAGCCTTGGCCTGAACTGTTACCACCAAGAATGAAGTAAGCTGGAGCAAGAAGTTCCTCAGTCATGATGGAACTCTTGGCCGCCTCATAACTGCAGATTCATATAAAGAAAATTTAATAAAAAATAATTAAACTAAGTATTCTTATATTTGCTGTCAACTTATTAATAAAGTATTATATTTCTGTTAATAATTATTTGAAAATGATATAAATAAATAAAAAAATATAGTTTTAATGCTTTCTAATTCAGATTTGAGACCATCTAAATTCTACCCCACGAAGAACTGTTCTTTGTGTACCAGAAACGGTTTTTTGTGGTTCCACTCAAGTCTTACTTGATTTAGTAAGAAAGAACCGTTCTTCAGGATACCAAAAAGTGTGGTTCTTTTTTATGGTACCATTTTTATAGCCACGAAAAAAAAAAACGGTTCATTCTCGTCAGTACAAACACACGGTAAGATATTCAGCTTAACTTTGTGAAGATTTACCCAAAAAGTAATTAGCATACGTTAACAATAACAATTGAAAAAGAGGATAGACTACCTTGCGGAAGACACCAATGTTTCCCGTAGGAAGAATCCCATCCATTTGCCACTATGGTCTCCTAAAAGCCACTTGATAAAACCAACGTATCCACCGTCCAACTGGAATCTCTCATTCATAGACAATGTCAACACTCCCTAAAATATTAAAGTCAATATGATTATCATGGGACATATAATATAGCTACTTAAAACAGTTTCAGGCAATGGTGATGACGGTGAAGAAAACAGCATTGAGGATGACGACAATGGTGATTGTGAGAACTAGTTCACTCTATTGTGTGATATTTTCAGTAGACTGTAAAAGGATCACAACCATTGTCATTGTCATCGTCATCAATGCTGTCTTCATCACCATTGCCCGGTCATCATCATATGACGTCTGCCAAAAAATAGAACTTTATGTTAAATTAAACAAATACGAAAAGATGTTATAAGAAATCTAAGAGGAGGTATATAGAAGATTGCATGCTTACGGGTTTCACGCCTGTTAAAACGCCGATGTAGCCGGTAAAATGAACAGCACGGGCAACAGTCTTACCCCCTGACTGGTAGTCTACATTTATGATTAGTGGACGAAGTTTCTCAGTCAGTGCCCATTTGTCATTTTCTGTATCCCAACTGTTAAAATAAAAAAAATCAATCAATGAAAAATATTACAGAAAGGGAAATACACGACGTGATTTGTTTGATTAAAAATGTCTGAAACAGGGTATACACAGAGAAAAAGTCAGAAACATTGAAAATTTATGCAGTATGAATGACCCCACAATGACCCCAAAGTGCTCTACTTCATCAGAAAGGATCAACTCATTAACACACTTCATTGCAATGTTAATATTAGATTACTCACCCAAGGAAGAGACCAAAGTCCAAGTTCCGAGCATGATACAATGTCCCTATAAAAAAAGATTATCAACTTTAATTGATAAACAAAGTGATACAAATATCTTTTTCAAAATATGAAAAAATTGTGAAATAATGGCCCCTTATAAATTACTTTTTATACCTTCAAGTCTGTTCATCTATGTCCTCAGCAGTACAGTACAACACAAACAGATTAAACCAATCTTTGATGTAAAATTTAGTACATCTTTCTATTTTTTATCTATTTCTTTATGTACAATAGCACCTTTCTTTTCAGATGCGAAGTGCTTTTTTTACGCAGATCAGAGCGTTAACATTCTACAAGTGTAGAAATCAGCGCAGGAGCAGGCAACCCCACTACATCCCCACTGATGGATATCAACTTAATAAAGTATCTTACCATTAGGAGCCTCAGCAATGATTGAAGTACATAGAGTAAATATTTCATAGAAAACATTGTACAATACCACTTGTCCTGTGAAGTAATCAGATATGTTAATTAGTTAATATTAATTATTACGCCCAGGATCAAAACAAATAAATAAATCATATACATTAATGATTTGCATATGTATGTCAAAGTTCAAGAAATATTGCATTAATTGATTGGTTAATTATTCAAGTGGGATAATTATTCAAGTGAATAGAATCGAAACAAGAGTTCCAAGCGATTTGCTTACTCAACTATTCAAAAACTGGTCCAAAATGAGTACAACTGTTTGGGGAATGGGAAAGGGGGGTGGGGTGCTTATAAATATTTTTAATGTTCCAAACTTACCAAGAGGAATATCCGCTGCAGTAGCAATACCCTTCATCTCATCACCATACGGTGCTGGTAACTGATCTGCAAGCAAGGCCTATTGTGAAACAACCACAACATATCATTCCACAATGAAGAGGGGAGCATGACGAATAATCCCCACCCACTATCAAAAATCAAATGTCCATCCCCTTGTAAAAAATACAATACATTATATCAGAATTTTCCATTTAAATAGCAAGCTCTAAAATGCAATACTGTAGTAGGCACCAGATCAGCATCACTCTCGATTGGGTTGGCCTTTGGCTGAAGCTTTGCGGCCAATTATTATTTTCCCCCAGCCTCCTCCTCCTCCCCCTCCTTTTCTTTTCCTGTGCCGTTAACACTTCAAAGAGGACTTTCTTTTGGATAGTAAAAGAATCCTATGCAGTATATTGATATGGGAATTGTTTCAGGAAGATACTGAAATGGATGAGGCATTTTAACTATCAATCACATCATAATCCACCGTATCACAAGATTTGTATCTTGAACTCTGGAATTGGAAGACAAGCATCGTATCCATCTACTAAACTAAACCCCAGTTTCTGTAGTGTGAAACAGATGACAGTTGTACTCCCCCTGAACGGGACACTAGTCCGTCGCAGGTTAGTCCCCAGTAGTTTGCTGGTTCCCATTGATACAGCTGGGTGGATTGAAGCAATGCAGCTAAAGTACCTTGCTCAAGGACACAAGAGAATCTGCACATCGGAGACTCGAAACCCGGAGCATACGATTGAAAGCTCAAACATCAACCACTGCGCCAAACTGCCGCAAACATCTTATCCATCAAAACATGTTCTTTTTGTTAACATGTTAAATTATATTATTGTTCATTGTTAATATTATAAAAGAATACAGTAGAAACTAAAAGAAAGAAAGCATAGTACGCTTGTTGTGTTAGTGTAAACAAATGATACACCCCTGTACGCAGCTAATACTGAGGATGCCTGCACGGTACTCGGTTGTCACACAATCACGGTTTGTTTATCTGTGTTTCAGAGCAGAGGGTATCAGTGTTCCACAAAATACACTACCTTTGTAGAAGGTGATAGATTAATGGTATTGCACTACAGTAAGCATTTAGAAACGAAAGCATTTCTTATGTTATCTATACAGTATATCTTGTTATACACACTGTAGTACATTCCAATTATTATTTTTCTGAGTGTTGTGTCTGTTGTACAAATTGTGTTGTGCTTTGTTGTTAATTTTTTTGACAATATAGTTGTGACGCTCATGGACCATGGTTTTGTGCCTTGCATTTTTCCTTGCATCCTTAGTACTGCAAGGAAAAGGCACATTACAAATGCCCATACCAGCACCAGTGGGGGTCACACTGCGATGAGGTAACCAAATGCAGAGGGCGCACTTTACGACAGTGATGGCAACTTTCATTGTTACTAATGGAGTGACATATATATAAATGGGAATGTACTCTCTTTAGTATCTATATTCTTTGATTATTCATACTTACAAACTCTTTGTCAATAAATGCAATAGCTTCGGTAACATTGACGACTGATCCAACTAAATCGATGATACTTTGAATCATTGCTTTTAACTAAAAGTAAAATAAAAAACAAAGTAATGAAATGTTAAAAATCATAGCCCTGTACAGAACTATCAAATTGTATTAGACAAAAACATGTTAACATGGCTAAATATGGATATGATGACATTACATCATGATCACATACAGGCACAACATGATGGGCATACAAACAGCTTCTTGGCAAACAAAACTTGATACTTTCAATCATTGCTTTTAACTAAAATTTTAAAATACAACATTGAAATGTTAAAATTCTTAAAGCCCTGTTCAGACTATCAATTTGTATTTAAACATGTGACATGCCTGATGACATCACATCATGACCATACAGTATATAGGTACATCATGGCTATCGCATTACACAGTTTTTGACAAAGAACATTTTATAGTGTGGACAGGTTTGTTTTTTTTTTGCTTATTTTTGTTTGTTTCTTTTTTTAAATCAGAATTTAACGCCCATCACAATCCTGAGAATATACAAGGCGCTGGCATCATAATTTCAATTTGTGGATCAAGTGTGGCAATTATCTTATTTGAACACCTTCTTACCTGGACAATGTAAAGTAAATATTGTACTAATAATACTGTAATATTTTCACTGATAACAGTAACTGTATGTTTACCTCGGGGGCTTTTTCCTTTGCCAAATTTGACCATCTTTCCTTCGGTGGGAGATCTAAATTCAGCACAAATGTTTTTACTCGATCTTTCTCGTTTGGTGGATAAGCATCTGTCCTACAATCTTCTGTGAACTAAATGTTTACAGAAATTAATTAAATAATTAATATTGCAATACCAGTACTTTTATTTGAATAAGATGTGAAAACAAATAAATTCAAATAATAATAATAAAGCTTAATTTATTACATGGATAATTAATTGATATTTATTCAGACAAAAATTATAATTCAAAAAATATCTGGAAGACACAAAGTCAGTCTAAAACCACTGTCACCAAATATATGTGGTCTCATTTTTGCAAGAGTTGTTGCATTAATAATATTTTAATAATAAAATATGCATGCATTTTTAATTTATAGTAACTAACTATACTAAAATTATATCATTTCAACATTTTTTAAAATATACAAAACAACTAAATCTTTATTAAATATAATTAAATTATCTTCTGCAAGTATTGCTGTAGTATAATTATATACCATTATCAATTTAATACTAATAAAACATTATAAATTTTTAAAACAAAGCTTTACAAAAATCATATACAGTAATATGCTTACACTATACTATTGCATTGGATTTTAAACTTCAAAAATGGGTCCAATTCTCCAAAAATAGCCACACTCTTTGGTGCTAGTTGTCCTGTACATGGGCCTGATCGTCCTCAAAATGAACCAAATCAGACGTCACGCCGCATAAACTTATAGGTGATCTGATAACCAAACTTACACACACCTCTTCCTTCGCTTGGGCCTAGCCTAGCTAGGGCCTAGGCAAGAGCAAGTGATTACCACTCTGGTGTGTAAAGTACTGTGTACGTGTAGGGCCTAGCCTAGGGCCTAGGCCTAGCTAGTCTATAAAATATCTAAGCGAGTGTCTATTTTAATAAATATAGTTTACTTTAAACTTACCGGAGGTACATCTTGAGATAGTGTACTGTCAAATAATATTCCAATGTACAGTGAAATTGCAACTAAAATAACTTTCTGCATAGTGACGAAAAGAATAAATCCTCGCTGTTATTCCTTCTCTGTTTATTTTGGTCATGTGAGAGAACGCCTATCATGTGACCGATCTTAATCTAATCGCATTCAATAAAATACAAAAATTGTACTTACTGTCCTTGTTCAAAGATTATAGGGCCTAGATGTTCATTATTTCAGACAGATGTTTACAATTTTCCACTATTTCTTAATTAAAGCAGGGAGTTGTTATTACAACTCCCTGATTAAATATAGCCTACATTTTAACTGCCATCCACGTGGTGTTTTTAGCTAGCTAGGTGGGTAGCTGTACATCATTACGTAACAAAACGACCCGGAAATAGTTTACCGGCAATTTAATTCCCAGGTTCGCGAGAATTCATTCTGCAAGATCATCAACAAAACAGTCGGAGGCTTGTTATTTCAAAGATGGCATTAAACAAACTTAGCATCGCTAATGTTAGCTTTGAGCAAAAGCGAGTTATAATGCGGTAAATATATTTAATTGTTTGGTTTAATTGTTTTTTAAAGTTGTTTGGTTTTTCTGTGGTTGTATAGAGCTAAGCCCTAAGCCCAACTCCATCTTATACCTACCACCGGAACGGAGGACCGAAGAAAGCCAGGCCTAGGCCTATGCTACCTCATCTTCAAAACTCTTAGCCTAGGCTATTATTCTTTAATAATCACAATTTTCCAGAAAATTAATAGTAGTTGAACTGAATTATTGAAACATTGCTCCAGAATGATAACTTGCAAATTGGTATTGTTCTAATTTTTTTATTGTGATTTTGATGTTTTTGTGAAATAGGAAATTTCAAAGATCTTAATAACATGCTAAATAAATAAATAAATAAGTAAATAAAATAAATAAATAAATATAATAAGTCATTAGACAAGGAGTGGAATATTGCAACATTATATAATGGAAAGCTTTACCCACTGACATCCATTTATCTTTGTGTGTTAAAAAGCTTACCTTTTTTCAATCGTAAACAAACTTAGTATCGCTAATGTTCGCTTTGAGCAAAAGCGATCGGTAATGCGGTAAATATATTTAATTGTTTGGTTTAATTGTTTTTAAAAGTTGTTTGGTCCTTGCTGTGGTTGTATAGAGCTAGGCATTAGCGGCACTGAACAATTGCATCTGCTGCGGATATTGGCCATTACAAATTATCATAACATGATTGATTGAATGATTGATTGATAGCTCTATATTTCTTTTTGTTATTTTTTTTTTATGTCAGATCTTAGTTATTTTATAATTGTTTTTTATTTAGTATGTCGACCACTTGCAACAATGAAGAATTTCATGACAGCATGTTATTGTATGCTATGTTAGCTACAATCTGAAACTAAGTGATCTTCAATTGGCTTGGCATAATCAAAGAGTGAATTGTGTTTTAATTTTTCCTTGTAGGGTGGATTTCAATGTGCCCATGAGTGATGGTAAAATTACAAACAACAAGAGGTGAGTTCAATAAGTCGAGTGAGAGACTAATGAAAGGAGTTTTGAATCATGATTATAATGATGACGGCGATGTCATGATGATATGAGATGATAATGATAATGATTGATGATGAATTCTGAATACTGCAAAATGAAATCAAAGCTGATGGTATTGATGATATGTATAGCCAGGCAGTCTTTACATTATTGATGCTTCACAACCTTTAAACTGGTATTATTTACAAAACAACTCAGGGAGACTCCGCCCTTTGAGATATAAAACATCTAGATGTAGAAACTCATTTGTACACGACTCCATTTTTGTATTAATAACAATTTTTTGCGGTTTAGTATAGTTAAGTCATAACTAGCAATATCTTGTTATCCTGTATAGAATATACTGGCAGTAGTAAGTCTTTTTTTTTTTTTAATGTTCTGGTAAATGTATATATTTTAATATCAGTTTGGTTTTTTTTTATGTTTTTTATTGTTAAAACTAATGTTATCATTTTATATTTTATTTGTCCATTGTACTTTATTCGCACCTGGACACAAATTTTGACTATCTCGTATTGTCGACAATAAAGATTCCTTTATCCCTTGATGATGTAGGTGATTGTGATAGGAGATTGATGATGATGATAGAGTAACAGACCTGGTCCTTGTCAGGGTGACCATGGGTTCGGCCAGAGCTATGGGCCCTGGACTTCAACAAATAACAAATAAACTACATAATAACAAACTCAAGATTCTCACTCTCAGTGGGTCAAACTCTTTATTGACGTCTGATTCAGTAAACAATTACAATTGTGATCACTCACCCTTAATTACTCCCACGTAATTACTATAATACAGGGGCAGATAGATAGAATCCCAAACAGGTACCCTAATCTTACGGATCAGCCTGCTCTATACTGGAATTCAATGCAGCCGTCCCAGACGAATTCTCAAGCATCAATCTATAACCTCGTCCTAACTGTACTCAAGTTAAGTAGTTAATTTGCATATCCAAAACAACAGGGCATTGGATGGCCAGTCTAATTGGTTAAACTAAGTTTAGGCAGATTCACTTCCTATCTGAGTTAGTCCATTTCCCATGACCTTGGTGACCCTGGAAAAACCCCAAATTCCATTACAATACAATAGAATGAGAAGCATGAGGATGCCGATAAATCCATTCAAGAGATGATGATGGAGAAAAGGATTATTCTATAGACATTGAGTAGGCCAACCAATCGGAGAACAAAACATGATTTATCATATACTTCATAATAACAATGATAATCATCATCATCATTTATTTAAGTCAGTTTTCTTCCCTCTTCCAAGGGGTTACTGACTGTCACTTGTTCCATGCAGCTACACCATCTTTCCACTTCTTCCTGTCTTGTGCATCATACTCCTCCAAACCAATTTTTGCACTTTCTTTCTTCACCATATCTTTCCACGTCACCTTTAGCCGCCCCCTTAGTCTTCTACCTTCAACTTCTAGATGCCAGGCTCTCTTTACTGGATCACCTTCGTCTTTTCTTAGCACATGACCCATCCATCTCAAGCTACTCCTCATAACAACCTCCACAATTGTTTCACTTAGACCTAGACATTCCATAAGCTCCTTTGTGTTCCTTCTTTCTGCCAGCTTAACACCGCACATTTTTCTTATCATTGCTCTTTCTGTTCTTCTCAAAATTCCCTCTTCAGTTGTCTTTATGTTCCATGTTTCGGCACCATACACCATTGCTGATCTTACACAGGCTTTATAAATCCTACCCTTTATTCCCAATGAGAACCTTCTGCCACACAGTACCATGGCCAGCTCATTGAACTTAGACCATCCAACCCTACTTCTCCATTCCACCGCAATTTCACAATTCTCGGCCTTTTGGCTAAGATCATGTGTAATATCTGTTCTTTTCAGCTTAATATCTGAAACGATGCTTATTGAGTAGCTTCGAATATTAAACTGATTTTTGAACTTATTCAACTACGAAATAATATTTTCTATTGTAGGATTGTTGCAGCTCTTCCTAGTATCGAACACATCTTGAAGAATGGTGCCAAGAGTTTAGTGCTGATGAGCCACTTGGGTCGACCAGATGGAAGGAGTCAGCCTAAATTCTCCTTGCGTCCAGTGGCGGAGGAACTTAAGACATTGTTGAAGAGGTGTTGTTGAAATCATTTTTTAAAATCGAAAAACTTATAATTTTGATTTGAATTATTATAGAAACTATCAATCAGTTGGATTGGATTGAATTACGAAAAAGGATAACCTACGAAAATCTGAAGACTCCCAGTGGGGTACTCCTTTTGGTGGTGATTGGGCAGTAGACCAGGAGACAATCCCCCTACTCTTTTCCGAAGAGTGTACTGCATTCTTGAACATGCACGTGGGCCATAATGCACAGAGGGCCAACGGCTTAAACGTCTCATCTGAAAGACAGTGCGCTATGGTAACTTTCATTTCAGCCCTCTAGCTGAAACACAAGGAGAGGCAGCAATGGGAATTGAAGCGGGGACCAAGAGGTCTCCACGGTTCAGCGCACACACTGTGGCTTCTACCAGATTGACCGACTGAGCTAAGGTGCATTGATATTAATGCACGTTATCAGTGGGCCACCTAGGAACCTTGGAATGGGGGAACTAATAGGGGTGTGCGAAGTTGGCATGAGGGGCACAGTACAATACAGTAGCACACAAAATAAGGTGGCTTAAAATCTTGAGCGTAATTTTTTGGGGTTTGAGAATGACTGGGTGAGGGAGAAAGATTTTTTGGACAATCTTTGGTCCCCGCTCCCCTTTATGCATGCCACTGCACATTATACAAAAATATTTGCTATACTTCTTTTTGTAGAGAAGTAGAATTCTTGGAAGACTGCATTGGTAGCAATGTTGAGGATGTGTGCATGAAGGCAGACAATGGTTCTGTTATTCTGCTGGAGAATTTACGGTTCCATCCGGAAGAAGAAGGGAAAGGAGTGGATGCAGATGGCAAGAAGGTATTAAAATGATGCTCTAGTTCTTTGGGTATAAGCTCACCTCATGTATAAGCCCATCTCTTACTTTATGCCCAATTTACATACCAGCCTTTCCCCGGGCAAAAGCCCAGGGCCAGTACCACCGAGAGAGGGTAGGGGACAGCTTCAAGATCTCCAGGGCCCAAGCTTACAATGGGGGTGCATAGAAATTGTCTTTCAAAAATAATAATTATTATCATAGGCCCTCAATAATGGCATGGGTTCCCTAATAATGAACCCCCCAGATTGACAGGGTCCCCCAAAAAAATTGTTTGCGCCTTCAGCGCAATCTTTCCCGTGCTTCGCACTCGTAACTGGGGCCCAGACAAACCCTTGCCCCTGTTAAACTTTCCCGTCTTGGCAGCCCTAGGTATGATTTGAATGAATAACTTAGCTGAATTTTACATTTAAAAAATCAAATATTGACTTTGAATTAGGCATTCGGTGCTGAAAAATTGCCCTTTGATTGAAAAGGGGATTCCCCGGGTATAAACCAACCCTTCCTCCCCCCCCCCCAAAAAAAAGTAGGCCCTATTTTCTGTTCAAGGGGTTGCGCTTATACCAGCGGAAATACTGTAATATGACATCATATTATGATTGTCTGACAACATCATTTTATCTACAAAATGTGATATTCCATTTTCAGGTAAAAGCCAGCCAAGAAAGTATTGATAAATTCAGAGCATCTCTTTCTAAACTTGGTGACATCTACGTGAACGATGCATTTGGCACGGCACATCGGGCTCACAGGTACGTTATACAAGTAGCGTTGTGATTGGCTTGATTTTTAAAGTGTACTTCATTGTATTTACATAGTTTTCACTTGATTTAGTTCCATGGTGGGTGTTCAGTTGGAAACGAGAGCGTGTGGATTCCTGATGGAAAAAGAACTCAAGTACTTCTCAAAGGCGCTGGAGAAGCCGGATAGACCATACCTTGCTATACTTGGAGGGTATGTCTGCTTCCTTGCTATTTCATTCCTCTTTGTTTTATTTAGTAAGTTACACTAGACAGGGTTGGAACTGTTAGAGAAGGTTTGAGGGTGTTTGGCATTTGATGAAAGAGGTGCTGAAAAAGGAAGGCAGGGAAGGATCTGCCAGCAATTGAATGGGGAAATGAACGGTTGGAGAGGGAACATGCAGAGCATAGGTGCTTGTAAAAAAGATGGTTAGCAAAGGGAATAAATAATTAGAAAAAAAGACGGATAGGGATTGGTTAGAAAGAAATGAAGATTGTAAGAAAACTGACAAAGGTCAAAAAAGCAATGTGATGCTTGGAAAGGAAATATGTGGTTTAAAATCTAGAGAAGGTTGAGTAGCCTAAAGCCTAAATGCCATGCTGGTGATGAATGAACAATAATTATATTTATTTAATAATAATATAGTAAATGTAATATTATTAGCAGTGTGTTAGTAGATAGTATTTATAGCAGTAGTAATAAATTAAAGGTATTATTAAAAATGCACATAATAATAATTAATAATTAATTAAAGTTAGTATTAATACTAGAATATTACTTTGTTTATTATAGGGCCAAGGTGCATGACAAGATAAAATTGATCAATAATTTACTGGATAAAGTAAATGAGATGATCATTGGTGGAGGAATGTCCTTTACTTTTGCCAAGGTGCTCAACAATATGAAGGTATGCAAGCACTTAACAAAGTTTTTTTTTTTAATTAATTCACTTAATTTTTAAGCTCAAGGCTAATTGGGTATGCCAACAGCAAACTTAATCACTACATTAAGTCTCACCATGAGGCATAGGGAGTGTGCTTAATAAGAATATTAGTTTTCAAAAATAATACTAAAATTCTACTTGTTAAAATTAGAATCTTTCAGAAGGGATGTGAATTCACTCATCTGTGTATTCTCTGCACAAGCAATAATAATAATAATAAATAATAATAATAATATAATAATAATAATAATAGTATATTTGGGCCTCTATATTTATATACTGATCCTGATGTTCTGATTTGGACCCCATTGGAAATAAATCAACATTATCAACAGGCAATTTTTATCTGTTTTTTGTATCTCTTTGTTTTGTGTTGTATTTGAATGGATGCTAAATAAATAAAGAAAATAAAAATGAATAAATAATAATAATAATGATAATAATAATAACTATTAATAATACTTTATTTATCTTTTCTTTAACATTTTTTTTGTCATCTATTTGAATTGAGATTTATTTATTAGACACACTCTTATGTTCAGGACTACACAATTAAAGCTTGCTTACAGTGGGGTAACTTTTTTACAATATATATCTATTTTCATTTCAAATTGGGACGCTCCTACAGCTGGATCTAAAAAAACTTGTGCCAAACTTTCGTTACCAAGTCGTCGCGTATTTTATTATCAATTCTCAACAAAGATACTAGATATAAAAACAAACTGGAAAGACACCCAGACAGTGACATCGGTGAATACATAACCTCCTTGGGGGCGGTAGAAATCGTTGCTATTATCCAAATAATACACAAAACAATTAAAGCACAATCATGAATCAGTAAAGAATAAAACAACAATACAGGGCAAAATCGCATGGCCGGACGCACTCTTAGTGAAAAAGTTTTCCTCCATTAGTGGAAAAGGAAGGGCGCCTTTTGCGTCTGGATATACTTAGCAACAGAAGGGCGCCCTGTACGTTGGGCACGAAGTATAGGAAACTTGCATGGTTGGGCACGACTTCCGCCTCATTTTTGCAATGCGAGAACTCTATCTTGTATTTCTAGTATTTTTGGTAGTATTAATACTAGAATATTACTCTGTTTATTGTAGGGCCAAGGTGCATGACAAGATAAAATTGATCAATAATTTACTGGATAAAGTAAATGAGATGATCATTGGTGGAGGAATGTCCTTTACTTTTGCCAAGGTGCTCAACAATATGAAGGTATGCAATCAATTAACAATTTTTTTTTAAATTAATTTATTTATTTAATTTTTAGGCTCAAGGCTAATTGGGTATGCCAACAGCAAACTTAATCACTACACTAAGTCTCACCATGAGGCACAGGGAGTGTGCTTAATAAGAATATTAGTTTTCAAAAATAATACTAAAATTCTACTTGTTAAAATTAGAATCTTTCAGAAGGGATGTGAATTCACTCATCTGTGTATTCTCTGCACAAGCAATAATAATAATAATAAATAATAATAATAATATAATAATAATAATAATAGTATATTTGGGCCTCTATATTTATATACTGATCCTGATGTTCTGATTTGGACCCCATTGGAAATAAATCAACATTATCAACAGGCAATTTTTATCTGTTTTTTGTATCTCTTTGTTTTGTGTTGTATTTGAATGGATGCTAAATAAATAAAGAAAATAAAAATGAATAAATAATAATAATAATGATAATAATAATAACTATTAATAATACTTTATTTATCTTTTCTTTAACATTTTTTTTGTCATCTATTTGAATTGAGATTTATTTATTAGACACACTCTTATGTTCAGGACTACACAATTAAAGCTTGCTTACAGTGGGGTAACTTTTTTACAATATATATCTATTTTCATTTTAAATCCCCCTTCAGACAAAAGCCAGAATTTCTGAGTCTACTGTAGGTTTTAAAGGCCAGAAATTCATGTCATAGAACTCAACCCTACATCATGGAACTCTAGATTCAAATGATTTATGAATGAATTATCGTCATCATTTAGATTGGGGCATCTCTATATGATGAGGAAGGCTCAAAGATCGTTAACCAACTGGTAGAGAAAGCAAAGGAACGTGGAGTCACTCTTCATTTTCCCACAGACTTCATGATGGGGGATAAATTTTCAAATGATGCTAAATCAGCAGTTGCAACCCTTGGTGATGGTATTCCCGATGGGTGGATGGTAAGTTCCATCGCAAGTAACATTTCTAATCAATAAGTCAGTAGGGTTTTTTTTTTTTTTTTAATTTCATGAAATGTACTTTACTTATACCGTAGTTCCTCCGGTCTACTCCACCCCCTAGAACACAAAGTATGAACAAATTTTTGGGGGTTGGCTTATACCCGGAGCTGCGGTGGCACCAGAAATCTTCCGACAAGGTGTCCGAGCCAAGGGGCCGGCGAAGCCTCGGTCGACAGCCCGGAATAAAAACTCTCTTGTAGTGTTCACGAAGAGTTTTTATGGCTATGTATGGTCCAAAATATGCTTTTAAACGACAATATTAGGGATTGGCAGTCAAAATAACGTTTAGATATGCAAATTATTTTTTATACATATTTTTGATCCGACGACTTAGTCGTGTGTGTTGGACGACAAGGGGGTCCAGACCTGTCCAACGGATGGGAAAATTCCCCCAGCCCCCTGGTGCAATCACTGACCAGGAGAATAACCTTTTTATTCAAATGGAAATTTTTCGGCACTGTGTCTTTTGAGAATATTGTAAAAGTCATACCTTGGTATTTTGCCTAATAAGGAAAGACTGTTGCATAAAATTGGGCATAAAGTATACTAGGGGTATGGATTATACACAAGTACAATATATGTTTATGGATATTGCAGTACCTAAATTACGTACACACAACCATACTGACATGTCATTTGGTATGTTCTTGTAGGGTCTTGATTGCGGTCCAGAGAGCATAGCCAAATTCAAAGCTGTAGTGGATAATGCAAAGACTATTGTATGGAATGGGTAAGAACTACATTAATACGTAATGTATGACACAATGAAGAAATGGATTATTTTGTTATTTATTCACTATCATGTTATAAATACAGTAAATTGTAGTACGGTAATTATAATATATTTGTGGCTCGGGCCACCTTGAGGGCGGGCTTTTGAAGCACTTGCTGTGCAAGGCGCTTGTGTTTTTCACCAAGACATTTTATCTATGTTTGTCTCTACCCAGGATTATGCATGGGTACCGGCATATGTGAGGCCTCACCACGAAATGAGACGTATCGTTGGTGAAATCATATTGAGATATTCACCAAAATAGGTCAAAGGCAACATTTTTCATGCTGCATTTTTGGCTATTAACAGAACTCATGGTCCATGGCACCCGGCTTTTGGAAAAACCCGGGTTATAAATCCCTCTGGTTTGTTGAATAGCGATGGGTTCTTAAATTATTTATTGCCACTTAAGCCCATGAGATGAAGTGAGTGATTGTAATGGGTTTCTTGTTTACATTCCAATGGCTATATGTTGCTGGCCAGGACTCTCTTGTTAACTCCCAATGGACATTCTTAAAACCAATTAAAGTTAAGTTTATGGAGCTGCTATCAGCTCCCTCTGGACCATTTGACAGCTCGCTCTCAACTATCAGACAGCTCACTACAGACCATTTCTGCTAACGGGGACTTTTGCCTCATGTACAAAATTTTGATTTTAATGTTTTTGAATAACTTGATACTTATATTTCATGATTGTGTACTTTTTAAGTGAATTTTCTTACTAAAACAGTGTTTTTTCGCATATTCTGTAATTCTAGCCGATTTTCTCAAAACCTGGTTCTCATACACCTAAACTTTAAATGCTAACATCTCTGGATCCATTTATCCTAGGGAAGCCATTCAAAGACCAAATTAAAGCTTATAATGTGGTCTACCAAAATGTAATATAAACTAAATTTTTGATTTTCTAATGATGAGACTCATTTTGTAGTCCGACTTCACATATGCTGGAAAGCCAAAACAGACTGCTGTACTGGAGAAGTGACAAACCCCCCCCCCCCACAGTTTTTGCACAATCTGTTCCAAACTCAAAGGAAAGAGAGAGATAGGCACCCTGGCCTTGTGAGCCCAGAGCTTCAGTTTTTCGACCTTTAGCATTAGTATGTTAATTATGATATGAATATAAATTAAGTTACAGTTGGCAGTATTCTTGACTAACATAATTTATTATACACAATCTTCACATATACTTTCTAGACCTGTGGGTGTTTTTGAGATGGAAAAGTTTGCTAAGGGCACTAAAGGCGTGATGGATTCAGTAGTTGCAGCAACAAAGCGTGGCACTACAACTATAATTGGTAAAATCAAATGTTAATAAAAAATTATAATATATATAATAATAATAATTATATATATATAATAAGACTAATAATTGTCTCTTATACACATCTAGATGTG